TCTTCAATTAATCCATTCAAATGATATTATTCATTGTGATTTACATAGTGGTAATATATTTCAAAATGATTTATATAGTGCTTATATCGGTGATTTAGGATTTGCAACATCGATTAATAAAACGTTGGACAAAGAATCAGGAGGAATTTATGGTGCTTTACCATATATAGCACCGGAAATTTTACAAGGAAACTCATTTACTAAAGCATCAGATATTTATTCTTTTGGAATGATTATGTGGGAGATTTCTTCAAGAAATGTAGGATTTTCTGACTATAGAGATGATGATTTAAAATTGGCATTGGAAATTTGTGAAGGCTTAAGACCAACTATTATTAAAGGCACCGTACAATATTATGTAAATCTTTTAGAGAAATGTTGAGATAAGGACCCAGAAAAACGGCCGTCAGTTATAGAAATGCATAAAACTATTTTAAATTGGAAAAATAGTGCCGAGACTTTGCAGAATTTTTAAAATCTGATAAAGAAATGGAGATCAAAAATAATAGCTTTAACGACATGGAAAATAGTACGATTCATACTAGCAAATTCATTAGCTATAATAATAATATTCATTGGGAAGATATTGTAAAATTTAAAAAGGTAATCAATTAATATATAAAAGGCTTTTAAAGAAAAAGAAATAAAGGATAGTAAACAATATAAACAGTGTTTGCATTTGGACAAATATGAACATGGACTAATCAGACAGTGTCCATGTTCATAAACAAATTACGGCTTTCTCATTCTCCTTTGCTAAAATTTCCTGGATTAATGGACGGAAATCTTCAATTTTGTGTTGAACGATGAGATTAAATAGAATTTGAGCCAATAATATATGATTACTAAGATTAAAAGTGATATTTATTTATTACCAAAAATGACCTATCACTTTGTTATGTCACCTAATTTTATATAGTCACAGCACTCACTAACAATTTTCGCCCATATGTATTTTATGTTTGATGACTTTTCATTTGAAATATTTCGGAACAAGAATTTGACCCAAATTTATGCAAGCTAGCTAGTTAAATAATAACTACGTATTATTTGGACCTAGCGTATTATGTCCAATAGAAAAATATGGATAATATGAACAATATGAACATAGTCCATATTTTGCAAACACTGAGTATAAGTATATTATAGCCGGTCGGGCTGTTTTGTATGCCTAGGTGCATTTAGGTCATTTAGGTTGAAAAAAAACCTAAAGACAAATTTTGGTTTTATAAAATTGCTATAATTGAAATCAGCGTTTTCACACAATGAATTTTTAGTGAAATTAGGTTCCGGTACGATTTTCCAAAAGTCGTTTTCGAGGAGACGTGATCATAACGCAATTGGTCGGTATTATCAATATATATTGGGAAAAAACAAAAAATGCTTGATATTATAGCTAATTTGGTTCAAAAAAAGGTAGTATGTAGTAAATATTACACGAAGGTTCCATCATTTTGGACGCTAATTGCAAAGTATTGATAGTCATTTTTTTCAATTTCATTTGTTCCCATAACAATTGTTTAATAAAAATTGATTTCCTTTGTTCATGTCGTGATAATACTATTCGGACAGCACATAGTGCAAGAAGCTACTATGTAGCATCTTTTTGTACCATCAACAATATCAAAAGACAAAAATATCGAACGGATTAATAGATACTAAGTTGGCCAAAACATGCAGCGCGAAATGCGAGTAATCTTTTCAGAACGTATGTACAGTAGTGGATATACATATGTGTGTACTAGATTAAAATCATTATCTGATATGAAAAAATTTGTAGTTTTCTATATTAAGGAAAATCGATTTTTTTGCCAAAATTCAATAATTTTGTCATGCTTGAAACCAGTATCTGCTTGAAGTTGCAACTTTATAATTAATGCAACTTTAAGCAGGTTTAATTTTCCAGATCAAAATCTGAAAGAAAAAAAGCAAAAAAATACTCGGGAAATTAATGTTTAAAGCCTTGACGCATTAATTAAAAAATTAAAATCAGGAAACCTTATTTCATTTTCATATTTATCATTTAGCATTGAAAAAAATGCTATTTGAAAAATCCTATTTATTTTAAGAAATCGCAATGTTAGAATTTTTGTTAATTATTAAAATTTTTTTGAGGTTTTTACTCGCGGAATTAAGTGAATTGTGTACGTATGCACGTGCATATGTATGTGAGTGCGGAAGTAGAGCTGTACTAAAGCCGAATATACAAGAACTACAAGAATGAACTTATTGTAAATTTTTTTTAACAAAAATAGAAATTATTGTTGGAAAATCATGTATGATCTACATACAATGGATCTGACGAAATTGCAATTAGCATGATAACCAAGCAACTATATCGATATTATTTTTTATATTAATTTAATTTTGACAATACGTATCTCAGAATATTTATTAAGTTTTTAAGAACTTGCTAATAAAAGAACTCGGTAGGTAACTCGTATGTGTAGATTGTTGATTAATCATGTTTATATGCGAAGGAAAAGATATTTGTTTCTCATCTAGCTTTTGGATAATAATGTTTAGTTCATTTACTATGTCATGTGCTGTTGGACGTTCTAAAGGATCATTATCCCAACATTTCTTCATTAGGTCAACGATTTCTTTAGGAATACCATCAATAAAATTAGGACTAAGACCATCCATGATATCTAAGATAAGGGTTACATCATGTTATCTACTAGGGATGTTAAGTAGTCTGACTAGTTTAGTTTTTACAGTACAATTTATATGTAACCAGCTAGTTTAACTAGTTTGGTTACATATAAATTGTACTGTAAAATCTAAACTAGTCAGACTACTTAATATCCCTATTATCTACCATAAAAAGGTTTTATATCCGCTCCTATCTTCCAAAAAATCATGCCTAAACTATATATATCTGATTTTTTAGTGTAATGCCCATTTTTGAACACCTCTGGAGCAATATATGAAATGACATCATAAACTTCGTTATAATTAGATGATTATCAGCTAGGTTACTTATCCCAAAATCACAGATTTTAACATTAATTTTAGGGCCACCATTATTAATGAGTATGTTACCGCTGCGAAAGTCACAGTGAATGTTATTTTTTCATGAAGTTCTTTAAGATTCCGTACTATAAGACGTAATATATCCAACTTTTCCTTCCAGGATAATTTATTAAGATTTTTTAAAAGATAGTTATGTAAATCTCCATGTATTGCGGATTCCATGGGTGTTTGGTCTTCGGATCTTGTGTTATACCGTAAATCTCATTAACTAAAAAAAACAAAAAAAATTAGTATTATATATTTAGTATATAACATATCAAAAGAAATATACATATATATTACTAACCTCGTTTGAAAAAAATGATTACTATTTTTAAGAATTACTTGAATTTTGTTTTCATGTTTGTATGGTTCATTATTTTTTTTTTCCAAGTAGCCATATATACTACTAAACCCCCTCTAGCAATAAAGTTAATATTAACGAATTGATTGTGTGGAATTTGTGGAATGCGCAGGATGTACTCGGATGTAGTTTGTAATTTGAATTTTGTTTATAATAATTAAAAAACTATTAGCTATTATTAAAAGGTTTTTAAGTGTTGAGACAAATTTTGTACGTGAAAATATAGAGTAAAATAAATGGTTTAACGCATTAACCATTATAGCAAATTGTAATTGTTTTTATAAATTACAATTGTTTTTCTTTAATTTTGAGAAATTCAATAAAGCGAGAAAAAAAAACTCGCAATTTATATTATAAAATACAATATATAATTAAAAAATTAAATACCATGAGAGCAGAGATACAAAAATGCATTGTGTCGATTTTTGTTAACATATGCAAGTGTGAGTGCTGGTCGATTGTATAACCGAATAAGGTAATCGAATATCTAACGTATGTGCGTAATGTACAATGAAAGCAGCTCACAAAAATAAGGGCCTTACATTAATCTGCATGTAGCATATACGAGTATTGCACCAAAATATCGCATCCAAACTTTACCATAGATAGAGGAGTTTAGATAAAGACGTCGTTCTGCATATTCACTTAATGCGTACCAAATCGAATATTATGATATAAAAAATATTATATAAAAGGGGAATAATTTTATTGCAACACAGTAACTTACAACTTAAGTTCTTTTTCAAAAAAACTTGAAAGAATGGATACTGAGCTTCAATTTATTTGTCTATCCATTCTCATATTTTACCTCCTGTTACAGGGTAAATATTTTTTATTTATTTTGCTTGATTTTAAGAAAAAAAAAGAATTGATTAAAAGTGAAATTTATAAATATTTTTTATCTCCTTTAAAATTCTGATAACTTACTAGAAGAACTCTATGTCAAAGAAACAATTTACTTACTCTACGAACAAAGACCCTATGTTAATTACCATGTTAATTTCTCGGAGAATTATTTTAATCCGATTTATGATAATGACCAACTCCAACCCATTCCGTCAACTTTTAACTATCCATTTTCTGGTTTGGGCGATAAAAATCTCATTCCATCGACTTTTAACCATTCATTTCCTGGTTTGAGCGATGAAAATCTCATTCCGTCGACTTTTAACCATCCATTTTCTGGTTTAGGTTATGAAAATTCTATTGCGTCGATTTTTAACCATCCATTTTCTGATTTGGGCAATGAAAATTCCATTCCGTTGACTTCTAACCATTCATTTTCTGGTTTGGGCGATGAAAATTCCATTCTGTCGACTTCTAACCATCCATTTTCTGGTTTTGGCGATGAAAATCCAATTCTGTCGACTCTTAACCATCCATTTTCTGGTTTGGGCAATGAAAATTCCATTCTGTTGACTTCTAACCATCCATTTTCTGGTTTGGGCGATGAAAATCCAATTTCGTCGACTTATAACTATCCATTTTCTGGTTTGGGTGATGAAAATGATCGTAATTCTGACGGTTCTAATAATCCTTTGCCTAACTTGGATGATGAAAATGCTCTTGTTTCTAATAGTAAAAAACAAAGATATCGATGCCGTGTTCTATGTATGTATAGTAGTAAAGAAGTGTATGAAATGAGGAGACATTGGAATAGGAAACATAAAGATATTGGTGAAGCACCATCACCTAGCGATAATTTAGATAATGAAAGAAGATACCGGTGCCCTTTTTTATGCTCATTTTCTTACAAATTTCCAAATCAATTGAAAAGACACATGGATAATAAACATCAATAATAATAGGTCTATAGTCCTTTTTTTTAAAAAAATTTTTTTTTTTCGATTTACAAAAAATGACTTATTGTTAAATATTTTATTATGATTTCATATTCATGGTTATTTTATTCGTATCTTATCTGTATTCTATTCAAATTTATTTACTTATTAATAAAATAAATTAGTCCTGCCTTTGATTAAAAGATCGTTATATTGTATGTTGAAGTAAAATTTTCATTGATTCTAATTATAAATAAATAAATTTAAGTGATAAGTAAATTTAACTTCTACTTAATATATTATTCTGTTAGTATATAATTAATAAAACTCGTATTCTTAAAGGATAACCAAGTCAAAGATTTAGGTTGATTTAACCATCTACATAGATGTATTTAATTTCAATAACTTAAATGTCAATATTAGAATCCACTTAAATGAATTACAAATTTAGTGATTAACATACGTCATATAGCAAAATTTATATTATAACATAACTATGACAAGAATCGTTAGAGTTAATTGAAAATTCTACCATGTTGTCATGGGACACTGGGGTGGTTGAGATCAAATCTTATTGATTATTATATAATGATAGATTTTTTGATCAAAAATCTATATCACAGTCTCTATATTAAAAGATCATTTGGATATTTAACACATGATAATAATTTTTTTTCGATCTTGACATATTTTACTTTCTACCACATTCTTAATAAAGTTACATTTTCAGATTTTACATACTATAATAAAATTTCAATTAAAAAATTTATTTTAAATTGATATATATAAAATCTAATACATTTTTTTTAAAACGTATATTATATACATTGGTAAGACTATATATGAAGTGCAAATATTTTAACGTAACTTTATAAAAGACGTGTTAAGGTTTTTTTAAAAAATTCTGGTGTTAATTCATCGCACAATTAAGGTTGAATAGTTTTTTTAAATTTTCTGTTATTGCTTCAAATATAATTTACTAAATACATAATTAAAATAAAAGTTAAAAAATATATTATGACTAACAGGAGGAAACATTGATGTTACACAATTGATTTCACACCACATGTAAAATCAATTGTGTAACATCAATGTTTCCTCCTGTTATTATAACTGTGATTATTTTGTACTATGTAAAAAATCTGTACTACATATTTGTAAATTCATATGGGACTACGTATTGTAAATTCACGAGACTAAACATAAGTTTGATTTAATCGAATCGAATCTAAATGATGAAAGCACACGAAACTTTCTCAAAAACCAATAGATGTTTGACTGAATTAGATTTCTTAGAAATCAACAAACTTAACAAATCAGAATTTTTAAAATAAAATGATTTATTTGGTTATAGCAAAATTGATTGTGCCATAATAATAATGTTAGCATTAGTTATCATAGGCAGAAGTTTGTCTGATTGGCTAATAAATTCAATTTAATTTTATATAATTTATACAGTTTAGAGTAGGAGCCTGCAAATTACCTATTTTTGTGGCCCGGCCCGGTTCGCACTTAGTTTAAAATTTTTTTTGCCAGCCCGGTCTGGTTCACATATATATAAATATTTTTCAATCTAGTTTATCTGACCTAGTGTGCAAAATTTATTATTAAATTATGAGAATTTTTAGACTTACTCTGGTCTGCAGTTGTAAAATTTTATTTTAAGTTTAGTTTAACTTACAAAAATTTGCAGACTGATTAGGTTAAACTAGACTGTAGTAGACTTTTAAGTTACACTATGTCAAATACTAAAATTTATTAGTTTTTTAGTTATAATAATTAAAATTTTTAGTTAAAAATAGTTTAATAACTTTTTAATCAAAACTTATAATATAATATATATATTTAATATAAAATATTTTTATAGTAATTTTATATTATTTTATATTTAAATTATAAAATTTAAATAATATATAAAAATTTTATTATAAATATTTTATATTAGAATTAAAACTTAAAAAATTTTATTTATAATTTATTTTGAGTTGTTTTATTTAATTTAAATTTTAAGACTAACTAATTTATAAATATATAATTTTTAAAAAATTTAAATTATATAATTTAAAATTTATAAATTAAATTATTTATTTTAATTATTTAATTATAAACTTAAATTTTGTATATTAATTTAATTTAGTTTATTTATATTTAATAAAAAATATATTAGGAGTTGGTGAAGTAGTCAGGTTGTCAACCCCCCAAGTGGTAGGTTGGGTGTTCAAATCCTATCGATGGCAAAAATTTGGATAATCACCTATGTAATATTCGTATTATGGCAACTGTTACTAATGATTGGGTTAGGAT